GTATTCCATGATGTATATCCAATCTATCATTGATGGGCATTTGGGTTGGTCCCAAGTCTTTGCTATTGTAAATAGTGCTGCAATAAACATACATGTGTGTGTGTGTGTGTGTGTGTGTGTGTGTGTGTGTGTGTGTGTGTTTATAGCAGAATGATTTATAATCCTTTGGGTATATACCCAGTAATGGAATTGCTGGGTCAAATGGTATTTCTGGTACTAGATCCTTGAGGAATTGCCACACTGTCTTCCACAGTGGTTGAGCTAATTTACAATTCCACCAACACAAAAAGCATTCCTATTTCTCCACAGCCTCGTCAGCATCTATTGTTTCCTGACTTTTTAATAATTGCCATTCTGACTGCCATGAGATGGTATCTCATTGTGGTTTTAACTTGCATACCTCTAATGACAAGTGATGATGAGCTTTTTTTCCATATGTTTTTTGGCCACATAAATGTATTCTTTTGGGAAGTGTCTGTTCATATCCTTTGCCCACTTTTTGATGGGGTTGTTTTTTTCTTGTAAATTTGTTTAAGTTCCTTGTAGATTCTGGATATTAGACCTTTGTCAAATGGGTGGATTGCAAAAATTTTCTCCCATTCTGTAGGTTGCCTGTTCACTCTGATGATAGTTTCTTTTGCTGTGCAGAAGCTCTTTAGTTTAATTAGATCCCATTTGTCTATTTTGGCTTTTGTTGCCATTGCTTTTGGTGTTTTAGTCATGAAGTCTTTGCCCATGCCTATGTCCTGAATGGTATTGCCTAGGTTTTCTTCTAGGGTTTTCATGGTTTTGGGTTTTACATTTAAGTCTTTAATCCATCTTTAGTTAATTTTTGTAGAAGGTGTAAGGAAGGGGTCCAGTTTCCATGTTCTGCATATAGCTAGCCAGTTTTCCCAACACCATTTATTAAATAGGGAATCCTTTCCTCGTTGCTTGTTTTTGTCAGGTTTGCCAAAGATCAGATTGTTGTAGATGGGTGGTGTTATATCTGGGGTCTGTGTTCTGTTCCATTGGTCTATATATCTGTTTTGGAAATAGTACCATGCTGTTTTGATTACTGTAGCCTTGTAGTATAATTTGAAGTCAAGTAGCATGATGCCTCCAGCTTCGTTCTTTTTGCTTAGGATTGTCTTGGCTATCTGGGTTCTTTTTTGGTTCCATATGAAATTTAATGTCTTTTTTTTTGTAATTCTGCAAAGAAAGTCAACGACAGCTTGATGGGAACAGCACTGAATCTATAAATTACTTTGGGCAGTATGGCCATTTTCACGATATTGATTCTTCCTATCCATGAGCATGGAATGTTTTTCCATTTCTTTGGGTCCTCTCTTATTTCCTTGAGCAGTGGTTTGTAGTTCTCCATAAAGAGGTCTTTCACATCCCTTGTAAGTTGTATTCCTAGGTATTTTATCCTCTTTGTAGCACTTGTGAATGGGAGTTCATTCATGATTTGGCTGTCTGCTTGTTTATTGTTGGTGTATACGAATGCCTGTAATTTTGCACATTGATGTTGTATCCTGAGACTTTGTTGAAGTTGTTTATCAGTTTAAGGACTTTTGGGGCTTAGACAATGGGGTTTTCATAACATACAATCATGTCTTCTCCAAATAGAGACAATTTGACTTCCTCTCTTCCTATTTGAATATGCTTTATTTCTTTCTCTTGCCTGATTGCCCTGACCAGAACTTCCAACACTATGTTGAAGAGGAGTGCTGAGAGAGGGCATCCTTGTCTTGTGCTGGTTTTCAAAGGCCTTCCAGCTTTTGCTCATTCAGTATGATATTGGCTATGGGTTTGTCATAAACAGCTCTGATTATTTTTGAGATATGTTTCATCAGTACCTAGCTTATTCAGAGTTTTCCGTGAGAAGGGGTGCTGAATTTTATCAAAGGCCTTTTCTGCATCTACTGAGTGAATCATGTGGTTTTTGTCATTGGTTCTGTTTATGTGATGGATTATGCTTACTGATTGTGTATGTTGAACCAGTGTTCCATCCCAGGGATGAAGCTGGCTTGATCATGGTGGATAATCTTTTTGATGTGCTGCTGGATTCAGTTTGCCAGTATTTTATTGAAGATTTTCTCATCAATGTTCATCAGGGATATTGGCCTGAAGTTTTCTGTTTTTGCTTTGTATCTGCCAGGTTTTGGTATCAGGATGACGCTGGCCTCATAAAATGAGTTAGGGAAGAGTGCCTCTTTTTCTATTGTTTAGAATAGTTTCAGAAGGAATGGTCCAGCTCCTCTCTGTACCTCTGGTAGAATTCAGCTGTGAATCTGTCTGGTCCTGGACTTTATTTATTTATTTATTTATTTATTTAGATTGGCAGGCTATTAATTACTGCCTCAATTTCAGAACTTGTTATTGGTTTATTCCAGGGATTCAGCTTCTTCCTGGTTGAGTCTTGGGAGGGTTTACATGTCCAGGAATTTATCGATTTCTTTTAGATTTTCTAGTTTATCTGTGTAAAGGTGTTTATAGTATTCTCTGATGGTAGTTTGTATTTCTGTGAGATCAGTGGTGATATACTTCCTATCACTTTTTATTGTGTCTATTTGATTCTTCTGTCTATTCTTCTTTATTAGTCTAGCTAGAAGTCTACCTATTTTGTTAATTTTAAAAAAAAACAGCTCACGGATTCATTGACTTTTTGAAGGGTTTTTCATGTCTCTATCTCCTTCAGTTCTGCTCTGGTCTTAATTTTTCTTGTCTTCTGCTAGCTTTTGAATTTGTTTGCTCTTGCTTCTCTAGTTCTTTTAATTATGATGTTAGGGTATCAATTGGAGATCTTTCCAGCTTTCTGATGTGGGTGGTTTAATGCTATACATTTGTCTCTTAACACTACTGTGCTCCAGAGATTCTGCTATGTTGTCTCTTTGTTCTCACCGGTTTCAAATAACTTCTTAATTTCTGTTTTAATTTTGTTATTTACCCAGGAGTCATGCGGGAGCATGTTGTTCAATTTCCATGTAGTTATGTGGGTTTGAGTGAGTTTCTTAATCCTAATTGCACATGGTCTGACAGACTGTTACGATTTCCATTCTTTTGCATTTGTTGAGGAGTGTTTTATTTCCAATTATGTGGTCAAGTTTAGAATAAGTGCCATGTGGCGCTGAGAAGAATGTATATTCTGTTGGTTTGGGGTGGAGAGTTTTGTAGATGTCTATTAGGTCCACTTCATCCAGAGCTGAGCTCAAGTCCTGAATATCCTTGTTAATTTTCTGTCTCATTGATCCATTTAATATTGACAACGGGGTGTTAAAGTCTCCAATCATTATTGTGTGGGAGTCTAAGTCTCTTTGTAGGTCTCTAAGAACCTGTTTTATGAATCTGGGTACTCCTGTATTGGGCACATATACATTTAAGATAGGTAGCTCTTCTTGTTGCAATGTTCCCTTTACCATTATGTAATGCCCTTTGTCTTTTATCTTTATTGGTTTAAAGTCTGTTTTACTAGAGACTAGGACTGCAACCTCTGCTTTTTTTTTTTCTTTCTATTTGCTTGGTAAATATTCCTTAATCCCTTTATTTTGAGCCTATGTGTGTCTTTGCATGTAAGATGGATCTCCTAAATACAGCATACCAATGGGTCTTGACTCTATCTAATTTGCCAGTCTGTGTCTTTTAATTGGGGCATTTACCCTCATTTACATTTAAGGTTAATATTATTATGTATGAATTTGATCCTGTTATCATGATGCTAGCTGACTATTTTGCACATTAGTTGATGCAGTTTCTTCATAGTGTCATTGGTCTTTATATTTTGGTGTGTTTTTGCAGTGGCTGGTACCAGTTTTTCCTTTCTATATTTAGTGCTTCCTTTGGGAGCTCTTGCAAGGCAGGCAGCTCTTGCAAGGAAATCCCTCAGCATTTGCCTGTCTGGAAAGGATTTTATTTCTTCTTTGCTTATAAAGCTTAGTTGGGCTGGATATAAAATTCTGGGTTGAAAATTCTTTTCTTTAAGAATGTTGAATATTGGCCCCCCATCTCTTCTGGCTTGTGGGGTTTCTACAGATAGATCTGCTGTTAGTCTGATGGCTTTCCCTTTGTAGGTGACCTGATCTCTCTCTCTGGCTGCCCTTAACATTTTTTTCCTGCATTTCAACCTTGGAGAATCTGAAGATTATGTGTCTTGGGGTTAATCTTCTCGTAGTGGTGTTCTCTGTATTTCCTGAATTTGAATGTTGGCCTGTCTTCCAAGGTTGGGAAAATTCTCCTGGATAATAACCTGAAGTGTGTTTTCCAACTTGGTTTCATTCTCTCTGACACTTTCAGGAACACCAATCAATTACAGATTTGGTCCTTCTACAAAGTTCCATATTTTGTGGAGGCTGTGTCTGTTCCTTTTCATTATTTTTTCTCTAATCATGTCTTCATGCTTTATTTCAGCAAGGTGGTCAATTTCTGATGTTCTTTCTTCTGCATGATTCGACTATTAATACTTGCTTATGCTTCACTAAATTCTCATGCTGTGTTTTTCAGCGCCATCAGGTCATTTTTATTCCTCTCTAAACTGGTTATTCTAATTAGCAGTTCCTGTAACCATTTATCAAGGTTCTTAGCTTCCTTGCATTGGGTTAGAACATGCTCCTTTAGGCCAGGTGCAGTGGCTCACACCTGTAATCCCAGCATTTTGGGAGCCCAAGGCAGGTGGATTACCTAGGTCTGGAGTTCGAGACCAGCTGACCAACATGGTGAAACCCCAACTCTACTAAAAATACAAAAAATTAGCTGGGCATGGTGGTGCATGCCTGTAATCCCAGCTACTTCAGAGTCTGAGGTAGAAGAATTGCTTGATCCCAGGAAGTAGAGGTTGCAGTGAACCGAGATCGTGCCATTGCATTCCAGCCTGGGCAAAAAGAGCAAAACTCCATCTCAAAAAAAAAATGCTTTAGCTCAGAAAAATTTATTATCCACCTTCTGAACCCTACTTCTATCAATTCATCAATTTCATTCTTTATCCAGTTTTGCACGCTTGTTGGAGAGGTGTTGCAATCATGTGGAGGAGAAGAGGCATTCCGGCTTTTGGAATGTTCAGCGTTTTTGCACTGGTTTCTCCTCATCTTCATGGATTTATCTACCTTTGAATTGTTAGGTTGATAACCTTTGTGGGGGTCTTTTTTGTTAATGTTGCTGCTGTTGCTGCTGTTTTCTGTTTGTTGGTTTTTCTACTAAAAGTCAAGCCTTTCTTCTGCATGTCTGCTGTAGTTTGCTGGAGGTCCATTCCAGACCCTGTTCTCCTGGGTATCAAGAGTAGAGGCTGCAGAACATCAAAGACTGCTGCCTGCTCCCTCCTCTGGAAGCTTCATCCCAAGGGGCACTGGACTGATACCAGCCAGAGCTCTCCTGAATGAGGTTTCTGTTGACCCCTGTTGGGACGTCTCTCCCAGTCAAAGGCAGAGGAGTCAGGGACCCACTTGAGAGGCAGTCTGTCCCTTAGCAGAGTTAGTGTGCTGTGCTGGAAGAAACCCCCTTGTCAGGATCAGCTGCTCTCTTCAGAGCCAGCAAGCAGGAAAAAGATAAGTCTGGTGAAGTTGCACCCACAGCTGCCCCTCCCGCCAAGTGCTCTGTCCCAGGAAGCTGAGAGTTTTATCTATAAGCCCCTGACTGGAGCTGCTGGATTTCCTTCAGAGATGCCCCCTGCCCAGTGAGGAGGAATCTAGAGAAGCAATCTGGTCACACCGCTTTGCCATGGTGTGGTGAATTCTGCCCAGTCCAAACCTCCCAGTCTCCTTAGCACTGTCAGCAGAAAATTACCTACTAAAGCCTCAGTACTGGTGGATATCCCTCCTGCCACCAAGCTCGATTGTCGCAGGTTGACTCCAGACTGCTGTGCTGGGTGGATCACTTGAGGTCAGGAGTTTGAGGCAAGCCTGGCCAACATGGTGAAACCCCTTCTCTACTGAAAATACAAAAATTAGTTGGGTGTGGTGGCCCATGCTTATAATCCCCACTACTCAGGAGGCTGAGGCAGAATTGCTTGAACCCAGGAGGCAGAGGTTGCAGTGAGCTGAGATTGTGCCACTGCACTCCAGCCTGGGTGACAGAGCAAGACTCTGTCTCAAAAAACAACAACAATAACAACAAAACCGCCTTTAATGAACTGGGGCCAGGCCATTTCCCATCCCTCCCACAGGCTGACAGAATTTTAGTCTGTCTAATAGGTAAGGCTGGACCAGGACAACAGAGAGTCCTCACTGGTCCCCATCACCAGGCTAGCAGGCATGAGTAACAAGCAACAGGAGACCACTGCTGGAGGAAGGGCAAGCATGCATCAAGAAATATCCCTCCAAGGTACAGGTGCATTGGGAATTCTGAAAGCTGCCGGTAAAGCAGGAACATTTTTTAAAAACAAAACAAAAAACCCTGGAAACTCAGCTTCTACCCTAAGCACAATATTTTGAAGTTGGAGGCACACTGAAGGCAACCACAAAAACAAAAACAAAAAAATCCCAAACCCACGACACATCCTAATAAAACTGACTCAACTCCACTTTTTTTCTGGAAGTATACACATCTCCTTTCCTAAGCCTTAAAATCCCAGAGGAAGGAAGTAGATTTTTTTCTTTTTAATTGTTTTTATTATACTTTAAATTCTGGGATACATGTACAGAATGTGCAGGTTTGTTACATAGGTATACATGTGCCATGGTGATTTGCTGCACCCATCAACCCATCATCTATATTAGATATTTGAAGCAGATTTTTTTTTTTTCTGAGACTGCACCTCAGTCTGTCACCCATGCTGGACTGCAATGGTGTGGTCTCAGCTCACTGCAACCTCCACCTCCTGGATTCAAGCAATTCTCCCACCTCAGCCTCCTTAGTAGCTGGGACTATAAGCATATGGCTAATTTTTGTGTTTTTAGTAGAGATGGGGTTTCACTATGTTGGCCAGGCTGGTCTTGAATTCCTGACCTCGTGATTCACCTGCCTCAGCCTCTCAAAGTGCTGAGATTACAAGTGTGAGCCACCATGCCTGGCCTGATATTTTTTAAAGAAGAAATATTTAAAGAGAAATTAGCCAAGAATCTTCAGAAAATAATGAAAGATACAAACTACAGATCCAAGAAGCTCAGTTTATTTATCCATCCATCTACTGCAAGACATCTTGGTTGCTTCCAGGTTTTGGCAAGTATGAAGAAAGCTTCCATAAACAGCTGTATCCAAGTGTTTTGTGTGAACATAGTTTTCAACTTATTTGGGTAAATTCTAAGGCAAGAAAGCTGCTATAAACAGCTGTATGCAGGTGTTTTGTGTGAACATAAGTTTTTAACTTATTTGGGTAAATTCTAAGGAGTGCAATTGCTGGATCATATGATGAGAGCATGTTTAGTTTTGTAAGAGACAGCCAAACTGCCTTCCAAAGTGACTGTGAAGTGGTTATTGATATAGTTTGAGCTACCATATCTGTTACTGTTTTCTATTTGTTGCCTTTGTTCTTTGTTCCTATTTCTGTCTTCACTCTTTTTCTGCCTTCTGTGGTTTTAATTGAGCATTTTATATGATTCCATTTTCCCTCTTTTCTTAGCATACCAATTATACTTCTTTTTCTTACTTTTTAAAGTGGTTGCCCTAGAGTTTGAAATATACATTTATAACTAACCCCAACCCACTTTCAAATAATACTATACCACTTCCCATATAGTGCAAGTACCTAATAACCAAGTATTTCTAACTCTCCCTCCCATCCCTTATATCATTGCTGTCATTCATTTCACTTATTCATAAGCATGCATAAATGTGTGTGTGTGTGTATATATACACACACACACACACACACAATTGAATACATTGTTGATATTATTAAACAAACTGCTGTCAGTTACATCACTCAAGAATAAGAAAAATAACCATTTATTTTATCTTTACTTGCTCCTTCTCTGATGCTTTCTTTATACAGACCCTTTCCCTGAACAACTTCTTTCAATATTTCTTACAAAAAACATCTATTGGCAACAATTTCATCCGATTTTTGTTTATCTGAGAAAGTCTTTATCTCATCCTCACTTTTGAAGGATAATTTTGCAGGACAGAATTCTAGGTTGGTGGGTTTTTTTCTCTCAATGCTTTAAATATTTCACTCCACCTTTTTGTTGCTTGCATGACTTCTCAGAAGGCAGAAGTATTTCTTATCTTTGCTCCTTTATAGGTAAGATTTTTCCCCCTTTGGCTTTCTTTCAGGATTGTTTTTTCTTTGTCTGAAACTTCTGCAATTTTAATATGATATGCCTAGGTACAGTTTTTTGTTTTGGGAGCTTTTAAAAATATTTTCCTGTTTGGATGTCTCTGATTCTTAGATCTGTGGTTTGATGTCTGACATTTATTTGAAGAAAATTATTTCCTTACTGCTTCAAATATTGCTTCTGTTCCTTTCTCAGTTTCTTCTCTGATACTACCATTACCTGTATTTACATTTTTATAACTATCTTACAGTTCTTGGATATTCTATTTTATAAATTTTTTTTTCTCATTGCTTTTCATTTTGGGAAATTTCTATTGACATATCTTTAGTCTCACTGTTTCCTTCCTCATCTGTGTCCAGCATACTGATGAACTTAACCAAAGGTATTCTTAATTTCAGTTACTATGTTTTTATTTCTAGCATCTTCATTTGATTTGAGTCTTTCTTAGAGTTTGCATTTCTCTGCTTACATTACTCATCTGTTCTTGCATGTTACCTACTTCTTCTATTAGTGCCCTTGGTATATTAACCAAAGTTGTTTAAAATTACCAGTCTGATAATTCTCACATCCTTGCCAGATCTGGGTCTGATTCTGATTCTAATAGTTGCCCTGCCTCTTCAAATTGTGTTTTTTGTCTTTTAATATGCCTTGTAATATGCTGCTGAAAGGTGGACATGATGTACTGGGTAAAAGGAATTGTAGTAAATAGACTTTTAGGTTTTGTTGTTGTTGTTTGAGACAGAGTTGCACTCCGTTGCCCAGGCTGGAGTGCAGTGGTGTGATATCAGCTCACTGCCACCTCCGCCTCCCAGGTTCAAGTGATTCTCCTGCCTCAGCCTCGCGAGTAGCTGGGATTACAGGTGTGTGCCACCATGCCCAGCTAATATTTTTTGTATTTTTAGTAGAGATGGAGTTTCACCATATGGGCCAGGCTGGTCTCCAATTCCTGGCCTCAAGTGATTCTTCCACCCTGATCTCCCAAAGTGCTAGGATTACAGGCATGAGCCACCGCGCCTGGCTTTTAGTAATATAGTGGTAATATATGGAGGGCAGGGAAGTGTTCTGTAGTCCTATGATTAGATTTCAGTCTTTTGGTGAGCCTGTGGTGCTAGATGGTGAACTTCACCAGTGCTTTTCAGCTTTTTATCCCCCTTTAAATGGGAAGGGATAGCCAGAAGGGGCTGGAGTTATTTTTCTTGCTCCAGACGAGTCAGGCTCTTATAAAACTTCAGCAGTTAGGCTGAAGTCTTGTCAAAAACAGAATGCTCTGACATATTGCAAAATGGTTCCTTATTCCTCCCCCTGCTGGAAGCATAAGATTTTTTTCCAATCTTTACATAAAACTTACAGAAGTGTGAGGGATACCTGATGACTGGGATCCTCTGGGGTTTTTATTACTTAGGCTTGTCCACACTGAGCCTCCACAATTTGTCAAATATAGTTCAAGTTTTTCTATCCTGGTACTTATTCTCATGGAGGTGAGTTTTGCTCTGGTTAAGTTGTAATTTTCTGTATCTGCCTGTTTGTCTCCCCAGTTCTGGGGGCAGAAGTTTACCTTGTGACCTCACCTCTCTTATAGATCTAAGAAGAGTTGTTAATTCTTCAGCTTATTCAGTTTTTATTTGTTGTTAGGATAGAGTGGCAACTTCTAAACTGCTTACATATTGGATTGGAAACCCAAATTCCTAAGTACCTTTCTAGACAAATAAAAGCTGAGATATTACATTACCCCCAGACCTGCCCTACAAGAACTTGAATCTACACAAAGAAATGAAGATGTCTGGAAGGGATAAATGAGGATAAACATAAAATATTTTTTCTTATTTTTAATTATCTAAAAGATAATTGTCTAAAGCAAAAAATAGTAGCAGTGTTTTGGATTACAGCATATAATAAAGTGTATAAAAACTATAGCACAAAATTGGGAGAAAAAATTAGGAGTATCATAAGGTTCTTAAACATATTATACATACTATTTGAAGGTTGACTGTGATTAACTGAAGGTGTATACTGTAAACTTAATGACAACCACTAAAATTTGCTCAAGTTACAAACAAGGCAATCACGGAAGAAAACAAAATAGTATAAAAAATAGCCAATTCAAAAGCAGGCAGAAAAGAGGGAAAAAAGGAACAAAAAACGGATGGAACAAGTAAAAAATAGCCAGAAAAATGACAAATTTTAGTCCAACTATATCAATAACAATATTAAGTATAAATGGTCTAAACATACAAAAAAAAGAGATTGTCCAATTGGATGAAAAAGTAAGGCATGATTATATGCTGTCTATAAGGAGCTCACTCTAAACATAAAGACATAGATGGGTTAAAAGTAAAATATGTCAAGACGATAAAAATAAAAGCCACAGACTGGGAGAAAATATTTGCAAAACACATATCTGATAAAGGACTGTTATTAAGAATGTATAAAGAACTCTCAAAACTCAGCAATAAGAAAATAAATAGCCCATCTTCAAAAAAATGGACAAAAATATCTAAACAAAGACAGCACATCAAAGATGATATACAAATGGCAAGTAAGCACATGAAAAGATGCCAAATATTGGCCAGGCTTGGTGACTTATGCCTGTAGTCTCAGTACTTTGGGAGGCTGAGGCAGGCAGATCAGAAGATCAGGAGTTCGAGACCAGCCTGGCCAACATGATGAAACCCCATCTCTACTAAAAATACAAAACTTAGCCAGGCGTAGTGGTGTGTACCTATAGTCCCAGCTACTCGGAAGGCTGCGGCAGAAGAATCACCTGAACCTGAGAGGTAGAGGTTGCAGTGAGCCAAGAAAGTGCCACTGCACTCTAGCCTGGGTGACAAAGCAAGACTGCATCTCAAATAATTAAAAAATAATAATAATAATGTATCAATATTTGCTCATCAATTGTAACAAATATACCACATGAAAGCAAGATGTTAATAAGAGAAACTGTATTCAGGTAGGGGATTATAGAAGCACTGTACTTTATGTTGTTTTTGTAAACCCCTAAAACTTCTTGTAAAAATAAAGTGTGTTAATTTATAAAAATTAAGTGATGGAAACTGATATATTGTTGAAACATAAATCAAAAGACAGCTAGAGAAGCTACATTAGCATCAAAAAAATAGACTTCAGAACAAGAAATATTATATATATATATATAAAAACAGGGACATTATATGATTATCATCCCATAATGGTGGTAAATTAACCAAGAATACATAACAATCCTAATTATATACTTACCTAACCAAGAGTTTCAAAATACATGAAGGAAAAATTATAGACCTGAATAGAAACATACAAACCCATAATAAAAGTTACATTTCAACAGTCCTCAGTAAATGATAGAACAAAAAGAGAAAAAATAAGTAAGGATATAGAAAGCCTGAACATTATCAACCAACTTGACCTAGTTGACATTTACAGAACATTCAACTCAACAACAGCAGAATACACATTCTTTTCTAGTGCACATAAAACATTCATCAAGATAAACCATATTCTTGGTCATAAAACAATCCTCAACAAATTTAAAATAACTGAAACACAACCAAAGTATGTTATCTGACCATAACAGAATAAAATTAGAAAAACAGAAATATCTGGAAAATCCCCAAATATTTGTTAAATAAGCAACATGCTTATAAGTAACTCATGAGTCAAAGTGGAAGTCATAAAGGAAATCAGAAACCATTCTGAGTTGAATTTACATGTAAGGACAATATAACATACTTGTGTGATGACCTTGGCCAAGTGA